AGAGTTTCTTCAGAATGAAGAAAAAACGAGCAAATCACTAAACCACTTTTTGTGTAAAATTTGTAATAATTCAACAATTAGATTGTAATCAATAACTGAGTAATTTTAATTTTAATAAATTAAATATAATAGAGTATTGTTATAAAAAGAAATTAATATTTTAATATATTTTAATTATTCCTTTGAAAAGGTAAAAATAAAAAATTAATATTAATTTTCTTTTTTAAAAGTGTTACGTTCCGAACAGGAATATTTTTCAAAATTTCCTTTGTATTTCTTACCGACTGGATGTGTGTCGATAATGCATATTGCATTCTGGGAACACCCTGATTGAACGCAGTAACGGTCTTTAATGTTATTAGATAGACTATCTTCTGGCGGCTAAACTAAGATTGTTAATATCGCACATTCCTTCCTTGCAATCAACGTGGTCCCATGGCCAAATTCTTAGATCGTTTTACTTCTGCGAACCGCTAAACATAAATGAAATTTGCACTCGTGGGGTCCGGTAACGTCAAGCGTTCTGAAATGTTCCTCAAGGACCCGCGATACAATATAGAATTGCAATAGAAATTGTCCTCATAACATTACAATATTATATGAATTGTCCATAAAATTACAATAGAGACTTGCATTATACCGGTATCGCAAATACTCATACGCCAATCAGTCCTACAATAGTTACGGTACCGAGCGCAATTAATTTTAATAATTGTAAAGACGAAATAGATAATGTTTGATTCCAAATTTATATAATATGTGCGGATTAACATTTTATACTGTATTGGTTGTGCATGTAAAAATTATTCAATAGCTAATTAATAATCCATAACTCAAGAGTAAAGGAAAGAACTACATAGAAAGAGAGAAAGATAAGGACTGGACAAGGGAGGTACGCACATCCACCACCACCTAATTAACGAATCACGGTCCCTTACGCATTGGCCTCGCAGCCTAATTCGTTAGGCGCATCTCAATGCAACGTAAACAATTTCGAACTAGGCCCACTCTGGTCTTCTTCGAGAGGTCCAAGTTGCGACACTCTTCGGCGTATAATCGCGAGGTGCGTGTCAGGAGTCCGTGAGGTGGTTTAGAGACGAGTTTGCTTTAGAATTTGTGAAACTGCAAAATTCGGGCAAAGACTCTAGCTTCACGTCAAAGTTTCGCGATAAATTTTCAATTCAATTTATTATTTTATTTTTCCATTCAATTATATTTTCTTTTATTTTCAATTTTAAAGTATAGTTTCATTTTTTATAGTTATTTTAATTTTGCAATAGGTCAGTTTTTAAAATTCTCATTGGTGAAGTGCTTAAATGTGTGTGTGTTTCTTCCTCCAGGAACCAGGCATAGTTGTCATTTCTCATTTTACAAGGGAGTAGATTAATTCTAAATTCATTCAAGTACAGACATTTCGGTGAGTTGTTTCCTTTATTTTTCCAGCTATTTTGTGAATTTTCCGGCAAGTATATCCAGTAGTTAATTATTTAACTTTGGGATCTCCCTTACTGGATTATCTTTTTATTTTGTATTTGAGAGATTGCTTATCCTTTCAAACCTTCGAATTGCGTATCTCGGATATTAACAATATTTTTGTTCCGTTCAGAATTTAACCTTTGTAACCCATATTATAGTGCACACGCTATCATTCTAATCATTATATATTTTACGAAATATAAACTTTTGCATATTTTAATTATTTGTGAATTACATTTCTTTTATTGCCTCCTTTTTATTCCATAAACTTTGCGATCTTATGAAAGGGCCCGTATGGGACTAGCGTATCTTCGGATCCACAAAACATTAAGTCCCGTTGCTAATTGATTTTGTTAGGGCATACAACTTCGCGGCTTTATACGCGCGTCTCCCGCACGTAACAACAGATTCAACTAAAAAATAAATTTTAATCTTTGATTAAGCAAATTCGAACTTATAGATTGATAAGTAATCGTCAATTCGAACAGCCCTCAATTAAAAGTAACATTTAATATTTTTTTTTTAATTAGTGGCGAATTAAATTGAAAACTGAATTAAATATTTCAATCTATGTTTCCTACCAGTTCTCGCAGTTTTTACATTTAAATTGGGAACATTTTGCATATCAAGTTAGCAAATAAATTTATGCCCTTTTTCCATTTGTTTTATTTCAATGTCATTTGAATTTCATTTTATCAAAATCAGAAAATTACTAGAAATATGAGAAAGTAGTCAAATTATGATATTATTATATTATTACTATACTATATCGTTACGTTAGGTCAAACGATCCTTATTAAAATATTTATGTTATTTATAATTATTTATATTATGTTATTATTATGTTAGTGATTTTTGTTGTTGTTTAAAGAATTATAAAAAATAATTTTATGGTAAAAAATTTTGTCAAGCAGATTTTGTAAGTCATGTGCAGTCTTTTTAGTAGAATTTTCAGTAACATAAAAGTAAATAGTAGATAAATCTCACGTAAAAATTATATTTTGGAGCTCAAGTTCATTTCAGATTCATGTTATTATACTTTCAACGCACTTTACATAATTATACGCAATAAACTTTCGTGATCTTAAAAATTGCGAGAAAAGTAGTTCTGTAACATTTTTATTCTTTCGTGCCATTTAATAATCATATAAAGCATTGTCTGTGCCTCTAAATTTGAAAGAAATATTAGGTCTACCAGAAAGTTCTGTCCGTTTTTAGAATAAAACAAAAGAATAAATTTTTCATACCTTGAATAAACTTTATTGAATAATGTATAACTGTTATCATTATTTATGACTTTTTGCCAGCGTGATGGTAATTTCTATATCCCATTTTTAAAAAATATCTTATCTCTAGAGGCCAAAAATTGAGCCAGTGCTTGCCTGATATATTCTTCGTTCTCGAATTTTTTGCCCTGCAAAAAATTTTGCAAGGACAGAAACAAGTGATAATTGAAAGGTGCTAGGTCCGGGGAGTATGGTGGATGCGACAGAATTTCCTAGCCTAACTTTGCGACTTTCTGACGAGTCCCCAAAGCAGCATGCGGCCTGGCATTGTCAGTATGATGTCCTTCCTATTGAACATCGCCGGCCTCTTTTCTTGGAGTGCTGTTTTTAATTTATCCAATTACTGACAGTACCTCTCTGAATTTAGCCTTTTGTTTGGTTTTAACAGCTCAAAATGTATTGGTCCTCGAATGTCCCACCATATACATAACATTTTCTTGTTCAGGCTCAACTTCGGTTTAGAGGTGGAGGGGCAGGTTTTCCGGGTTCACAATATGCCCTTTTCCTTATGATGTTTTCGTAGGTAATCCACTTTTCATCCCCAGTTACCATTCGATTTAAGACGGGCTCAATTTTTTTCCGAGCAAGCAGAAATGTGCATATGACGACTCGACTACCCAAATTCTTGTGATTTAATTCATGTGACACCCATCTTGAATATTTCCACACCAATCTTATCTTCCGAATATGGTCCGAAATGGTTTGCTGAGTAGAATTTAACCTTTCTACGATCTCCGATATATAAACATCGATGTTAAACATGTGCTTACGTGTCAAAAATTGTTGTCATAGAAACGGACAGAACTTTCCGGTAGACTTAATATTTAGATGTAAGATGATTCATTCTGCATTATATGACAAGTATTGAAAAAGTAGTAAGGGCATGATATCACAATTTACTTATTTTTTTAACCATTTTTTATCGGAAAATAAAATTCTTTTTATATAGTTTCCAGTTCAGAATACGGTTTTAAAATTCTAGTGCTTTGAAATATTTGAATAGTTTGAACACTTTGAATATTTAAATATTCACGCAGATATTCCAGTATCCAGGGAATACGGGTAGAAATGAAATCGACCGTCGAAATCTTACTTGTCAGATTGTCGGTCCGCGGGGTATACCAAAATTGGAGGTAAGAGAGCACGTAGTGGTACATCGGTTATCTCAGTTTTCCTTCGGCATTACTCAGATAATCACGTGACATGTTTGATAGTCGAAATTATAGATTTATATGATCAAAATGTCAAAATGCAAAAAGAGGATGACAGCGGTTATTATAGAAAGATTAGATTAGGTTAGGACTGAAGGTTAGTATGTAAATTATAAATGATTAGGTAAAAAAAAGAAAAAGACTTGAAAATCTTCTATGTTTTAAAAAAATAATATATATTAAATCCTCTGTATATCATGTGATTTATATAACAACATAAATAAAAGAATAAGACTATATATAATACATAAATTGTTTATTTATAATATTTACATATGAAATTTACTAATCTTAATATTTATATACTACTAATATAGTAATCTTAATGTTCACATATTACTAATGTAGTAATCTTGATATTCATATTTCCTTTTTTTAACCGTTCAGTTTTTGTTCCTTTTACGATTTGAACAACAAAGTATGATGTAGGTTTCAGTCAATTTCAGTCACTTCTCGAAAAACATTCTCTTCAATTTACTTCTAACAGAGTTTACGCAAAAAGGACGCCTACGATGTTCCTTGATGCTCCTGATGCTGCCCACACGTCGGTATTTAGCCAATGCGAGCCGAATGCATACGAACTCAATCGATTTACCACTACTGAGCTTCCGTTGCTTCCTTTTCAATCTTAACCTAACTGCCAAATTTTTATTTTTGATATTTTTGGTGTATTAGGGTAATGTAATCAAATTTAGGTCAAGTTAGGTTTCACTAGTATATTAAAAAACATAGTAATTTTTAAAAATTTTAATTAAAAAATAAAAACTTTTATTTCCTAAAAGTACGTTGCTGTATAAAAATATGTTATTTATTCTATCAACTAAATGAATGTGTCAATATGCTCAAACATGACTACGTTAGAAAAGGGAAAAAAAAGAACAAACAGTTCACTAAAAATATGAGCATCAAAAGATAATTTTATCACGTGAATTCATATATCAAATATTTTTATAAAAACTTAAAACAAGAAATAATTTTAAAAGCAAAATATAAAGGTTTACCGAATATACATTTTATTTAATATAATCGCAAGTGATAAAAAAAATACAAATCCCCATTTGGGTATCGCGGTAGCAAATGGGTTAAGGGTTTCATCACTCAAAGTAGTACATATCTTCTTCACCGTGTATACAGTAGAGGTGCCATAAATAACAACACGCAAGAGAGATTGCCGTATCCCGAATATTCTGATAATCGAATTTGGTTTACAGCTTCAGTGCGAACGCGTGGTTGGAGATACAGCCGCATCTCGTGGTCGAGATTCGTGGCAGTTCCCAAATCGCGCGTATCGCGAAAGAGGGACGCACCTGTATGTCGCTTGGCGCGCAGCTGCGACCTTCGACGCCCTTGTGCTGGCGGTCGTGCAGCGCGGCGCTCGTCCTCATCATTTTTACGCCGAACGTACGCACGGCCACGCGGAGCTCCGAATCGCTCGCATATTCGCGCTTGCTTACGACGCAAATCGTACGTCCGTCGTTTCCCAACGAGTTCCCGCGTGAAAAACGTTGTGCTTTCGTCCGTGGGCACCGGTACTTCCGCCCAAGGGCCCTGGGTGATAGCTTGGGTCCTCGCGAGTGCACCTCGGTCTTCGGTTCCCTGGAAGGGGCAGTAGCGAAAGGATCGGTTGACGGAAAGTCGGTGAGTGTCGCGCAATCTGCACGCGTTCACTTGCACGCTTCTTTACCCTCTCTCGCGCAAAAGCTTTTCTTTCTTTCGTGCACTACGAGCTTCCTTGTAAGTTCTCATTGTTACCGTTTGTCGGTACAGAACAATATAATGCTGTATTCAGGAGATGTCCACATGGGAGAATGTCAAATACGTGTCATTCGCATTGCCGCTTTTATAATTTATTATGAACTGTCAACTGAGAAGATGTAAATTCTACGTCCTTTTGTACAAATTTGTACATATTATGAATCAAGGGAAAAAATATGGCGTCGATGTAAACATCTGTTTTCTTCAGTTGTTAAGGTTTTCTAACCTCTGTTTATTTTATTCATTAAGAGCGTTTATGATGTGTAGGATAGTGTATAAATTTTATGGGAACACTTTGTACTCATTTACGCTGTTGCGTATTGGTTCAAATATTTAAATTAAGAAGGCAGAATAAAAAGAATTAGCAAGAGCACGCTGTCAACAGCACTCGTGAGGAATTCTGGCGCGGATTATTTTACTGTTTCGTTCTTTGCTTGGCACTGAAGAATTGGAGTAAAGAGCGGAAGATAATACTGATTGTCATGATTGGCATTTCTTAAATCTTATCAATTATCGGTGATAGAAAATATTAGTATTCGAGTTTATTTAGTTTATTTTTAAATTAGTATTAAAAAGGCAACAGTGAACTGATTTAGTGGATGATTTATTTTAGGGAATTTAGTAGTACATGTTACAAATTTATGTCACAAAGATATGTTTCTATATTAAGAGCATATTGCATCTTTTTTTGACAATTTTAAATTCACAAAAGTGAAAAGAAATGATCGTTTAGTCTAGATTTTAAATACTTCAGTAAGTAAATATGATGGAATGTATAGGTTAACTTCTATACAATTATTAATGTATATATTTATAAATGGATAGTATGCAACTATACTAAATAATATCTAGTTCATTTAAAATCACTACAAGAGAAATAATTAACAAAAATTATAAAGTTGTCTGTTTTTAAAAAATTCTAGTTATATTAATATAAATAACTTATGTTTATTAGTTTGCAATAATAATGTAAATTACTTTATGTTTGTTTGTAATAGTACTATAATTAATTCACATTTATTAGTTTGTAATAATACTATATCTAATTATTTATTAGTTTGTAATAACAAAATAAACATTCAAGTACCAGTTTTTATTCTTAAAAATTGATTATTTGTAACTACAGTAGATAAGTTCATTTAAAATCATTGTAATTGTTGGATAACACAAAATTTATTATGTTCTTCAATTATCCTAATCTTAATAACATAAATAACATATAACGTTAGAAATTAATAAAGTTTTTATGCAACATTTCGCAACTGTATCATTTAAATACAATAAACTTTGCATTGTTAAATATTTGTATTAAGACAATTTCTTATTTTAAATTGAATTGTGTACTAAAATAACATTTCTATTTTACATTAAATTAATTGTGTACCATCTTAAAATCTATTACACCATGTATGAATGAAAAAATATGTCACGTTGTACCTTTGTAAGAGTGGACTTATAAATAGCGATTAAAGAAACGCGCACGTGATTAAATCAACGTATGTCTGTTTTCGCGTGCACTATTACCTTAACATTATGCAATGATTATTTTCGTGAGTGGAATTTAAAAATTATTTATATTGAAACAATTCGCCCACAGCATATGCAGCTGCTTATCAATGGTTTTTAAAATGGATGAATCATCTCGTGTTTACGTTACTTTCGCGTATTCCGCTATATAAAGCAACGAATTCTTGCATTTTCTTCTCATATTTGATTACATTTGCATTCCGCTCAAAATCAACAATGTGTGTCTCGTTCAGAATCACGGGAGAACAGAGAAGTTACAATTGTTAGTCCGACTGTTTTCGATAACTTGTCTAATCGCTCGTACCATTTGCACTCAGATTTGTCGTCCTTTTCAACGCAAAAATTACTTGCATTCTTTCTTTTGTTTATTAAATCTTCAGTGTAGAAATTCGAACGAGTAATTAATAATAATTTAAAGTTTCTGTTATTGTAAATCATCAAAACTTCATACAAACATTTTTTACGATCATGGACTAAATCATATTTCTGTTTTAATTTAATTTTAATTTTAATTCTGTTTTATTATAGCGAGATTTATTGATAAACATTTTACAGTGTTAATAAATAGAATTTTTTGTTGTTAAAGCATTTCTTATATTTCGTATTGTTTTATGAATTTAAAAGATTTTTTTAAGGATACAGACATTTCGACCCACTTTCCAATCGAAGTGGAAGAAATGTAATAGATTGCTTCAGATTCGTATCGCGTTTCTTTTACTAGATGTGAATGTACTTACATATTGCGTTTCGATACAAGAGCTTTCTCAAATACCAAACAAATTAATGAAACTGATAGTAGGAAATGTAATGTGACATTCTTATTCTACTGGTTTCCAAGCGTTCTTTCATGATGCAAGTTATAATGTTGATTATTGCGCAATCAGATTGAGATTTTTAGTCGGTCAGTATTTATAAAGTTTTGATTTAAAATCATTAAAAAGTCCTTTATTATTAATTTTTAGTTCTTTTTTTTGAACGTTCAGTTTTCATATTTTAGGGTGAATAGTTAGCATAATCGTTAAGATTGTACTTGTTGATATTGTGATATTATACATATAGTAATAATTTATAGTGGTAAATAATAATTTATTAATTAGAAATAATTTATTTATTTCATATATTGAGATAAATTAATATAATCGATTTTATGTATTAAAGTAAATTAATACGAAAGTATATTAATACTTTGAGATCAATTCATTAGACTTATTTTATATATCCAGATGATTTAACATAATTTGTTTTATGTATTATGATAAATTAATATAATTTATTTTATGCATTAGGATCAATTAACATGATTTATTTTATGCATTATTAAATAAAAGTTCATAACAATATATATCGTATTCAGCGTAAGTTCATCTATAAATGGCTATGCATATTTACTTCATTTTTCTAACCAGAATTTGTTAACTCACAATTTTAGTTTCTATGTCGTAATATTTAATTACAAGATAGTTTATCAACTATTTCGTCTATTATTGAGTTTCTAATTTCAGCCATGAATAAAATAAAATAAACTAATATATCTTTTATAAGATAAAATATATAATTGGTATAATAATAACAATCTAATAATATTATTTAATGTTATTAATTGGAAAGTACTAATCATTATTCATATATATAAAAGTTTCTTAATATAGCTCCTAATTAACCACATGATGATATAAGGTTCAATTAAGTTTTCATTGCAAGTACTTTCAGTAAGTTCAGTTGCTACTTTTGTCAGAACATTGTTGATTTTGCAACTTTGGCTAACAAGCGGCAACATTGTTGATCTTTGCAATTTGTGTCACGTGGTAACATTGTTGACTTTTGCAACTTTTGTTAACGCACTGCAACATTGCTAACTTTGGCAATTTGTGTAAAATGGTAACATTGTTGCCTTCTGAAATTTTTGTCAATACACTGCAACATTCTTTGCAAATTTTGTAGCATTGTAATTCTTGTAACATTGTAACATTGTTGACTTTCACAATTTTTGTCAATGCACTGCAACATTGTTAACTTTTGCAATTTTTGTAAAATGGTAACATTGTTGACTTTTGCAATTTTTGTTAATATACTGCAAAATTCTTTGCAAATTTTGTAGCATTGTAATTCTTGTAACATTGTAACATTGTTAACTTTCACAACTTTTGTCAATGCACTGCAACATTGTTAATTTTTGCAATTTGTGTAAAATGGTAACATTGTTGCCTTCTGAAATTTTTGTCAATAGACTGCAAAATTCTTTGCAGATTTTGTAGCATTGTAATTCTTGTAATATTGTAAAATTGTTGCCTTTCACAATTTCTGTCAATGCACTGCAACATTGTTAATTTTTGCAATTTGTGTAAAATAGTAACATTGTTGACTTTCACAATTTTTGTCAATACACTGCAAAATTCTTTGCAGATTTTGTAGCATTGTAATTCTTGTAACATTGTAACATTGTTGACTTTCACAATTTTTGTCAATGTACTGCAACATTGTTAACTTTTGCAATTTTTGTAAAATGGTAATATTGTTGACTTTTGCAGTTTTTGTCAATATACTGCAATATTCTTTGCAAATTTTGTAGCATTGTAATTCTTGTAACATTGTAACATTGTTGACTTTCACAATTTTTGTCAATGTACTGCAACATTGTTAACTTTTGCAATTTTTGTAAAATGGTAATATTGTTGACTTTTGCAGTTTTTGTCAATATACTGCAATATTCTTTGCAAATTTTGTAGCATTGTAATTCTTGTAATATTGTATCATTGTGGACCTTTGCAACATTTGTCACATTGTAACGTTGTTGATCTTTGCAACTTTTTTAACGTCGTCATTTTTGTAGTATTATAACATTGTTCATTTTTGCAACTTTTGTAACATTGTAACATAATCGATATGTACAGCTTTTGCAAGGTTGTAATTTTTGTAACATTGTTAAACTTTGCAACTTTGTAACTTTGCAATATTGTTGACTTTTGTAACTTTGTAACATTGTAACATTGTTGAGGTTTGAAACTTTTGTAACGTCGTAAGTTTTGCAACATTGTTAACACATTATAACATTCTTGACAATTCAAACGTCGTTTTAATAATTAAAATAATGGAAATGGCGAAATCTAAAGAATTGTTCATAGCTTTATTAGTAATTATCTTAGCAGCAGACACCACCACCGCAATAAGCAGTATCATATTAATAACTTACATGATTTTATATTTCAATAGTTGTAAGAATTATATTTTAATAGTTGATTCGTTGACGAGTGTAATATGGCGAATATTACAATATTCATTTGCAAGAATTTTTGTATGAAATTGCGCGAAACGAAGCAACAGGTAAACGCGTTCCAGTACACATGTTTAAATATAGA